CCTCATGTGGGGGTGACCCCCAGCCATAAAATTATTTTCGTTGCTACTTCATCACTGTCATTTTGCTACCATTATGAATCGTCATGTCAATATCTGATATGCAGGATGTATTTTCATTGTTACAAGTTGAACATAATTAAAACATAGTAATTCATCACAAAAACAATATGTAATTATAGATTGTGAAATATTTATTGACAAACAAATGAAATTTTGTTGTGGAGCATGGGTATCAGTCTTCACGCGGGGTACTCCTGTGTGGGCATAACTGCACGTGGGCGGACCCGCCTGGAGATAGAGGAGTGGTGTCTGCATTCCTAAGACCACTGGAAAGATGTGTTCTCTGATAGGCGATCCCTGTGAAAGGGCTGGTCGACCCCCCAGAGGGGTCGCAACCCACAGGTTGAGAACCACTGCTTTCAATGTTTTATAAATGAAACTATGATGGCTTTCTGTTCATTTTCAATTTTGCTTCAGAGCTGCCTGCCTGTACTGGGAGAGCAGCTGCCGGCCTGAGAGTCCCAGTCTGTGGACCGCCGGCCCGGGAACAGCCTGAGAACCCGACAGCGGTGAACAGGTCCACCGAGTGCAGGCCCACGGCAGGCCCCTGTGCTGCATGTGGCGTGTGCAGGGCTCTCTGGGTGGTTTCGAATTCTCAGCCTTTGGGTCAGTGGCTGAGTAAGGGCAGGAGGCAGGAAACCTGGGCGGGGCTATGGTCTGTGCTCCCAGGGAGCCAGGGGGTGGGGGTGGGGTGAAGAAGAGATTGGGGGTGGGCCAGGAAACCTGCCCAGAATCCACAGGCCGTGCAGGCTGCCTGGGCCCTGGCCTCTAGACACGGAGGCTGGCTCGGCTTTGGAATTTTCCGGAATTCCATGATGCTGAAAGCACAGAACATGGCAGGAGTTCTCCCCATGAGCTCATGGGGAGTAGGAGTCAACACGTGGTTTCCAGGGAGATGCGGGGTGGACAGGGGAGGCTGCTGCCCCTCGCAGAGCCGGGACCGTCCAGGCTGGCCGGGAAGCTGCTCCCATGCCCCATTCCTCTGCCCAGGCTGACCTGCGGGCAGCTGGCTTCTGGCTTCCAAGACAGTGAGGGCCCTCTGTGGCCCCACCCCTTCCTGGAGGAGGGCCTCCCCTCAGGAATCCCTGAGGGGCTCTGCTGCCTGTTGTCCAGGTGGGCGCAGGCAGGAATGGGAGATGGAGGTCTGGTGCCTGGGAAGTGGGCACTGAGAGGGAAGGGTGGGGATACCCCACCACCGGCTGTGAATTCTGTTCTTCCACCACGGAGTTGCCCTGGAGACATGCCCTGGCCCTGACCTCAGCCCTGGGTACTAGGGCTGGCCTCCTGCCCGGCCTCGAAGCCCCAAGCTTTCTCTGGAATGTTCTCCATCCTGGAGCTCCACCCGTTCCAGGGCCCTCCCTGGAAACACTAGGGGTTGGGTGAGTCAGGGTTGAGGAGCTGAGGTTGACAGATCAAGAGCCAATGCTAAGCAGAGCTGATACTAAGGGCTCAAGTAGAAAGAAAATGCTGGAAATGTTGGTGGCAACCTATGTACAAGTGTGCGTAATACAATTGAATGATGGATGGTTATAAGATTTGCAAGAACCGCCCTCACAATAAAAGGATTAATTTTTTAAAAACAAAAATTAAAGAAAAGCACAAAAGAGCCCATGGTGTCCTGATCAGGTGGAAGGGGCCAGGGTGGGGTGAGCCTCAGCTCCAGTGCCTTTCCGGGGGGCAATGGCACCCCCACCTGAGCTGTGGGGGAGGGGGGGGAGGTGACAAGGAGTCTCCCATGGAGGCTGTCACAAGCTGCTCCCCGGCAGCAGGTCTCAGCCAAACCAACTTCAGAGACCTACCTGTCTGTGTGGCAGGTGGTCTCTGGGGGACCAGAGAAGCTCGCTTTACAAGGAACTTGTCATCCTGGAAATTGCTTCTATCCAGAGCTGGAGGGGCTCTGGCGGGAGGGTGGGGTCCTGGCTCCTGCTTAGAAACAAGATGGCCCGTGGGGGAAACCAGAAGAACGTGAATTTGGGAGTCGGATGGACGCACCTGTGGCCTCACCCCCCACCGCAGCCCCTCCCTGCCCCTCTTGCTCTAACCCCAGGGACCCAGTGATGCCCATCTCAGAACAGACTCGTTCAGGGGTTCAGGGGTGTGGCAGCCTGTTTGCTCCTCTGATCTTATGGGGACACAGGTGGTGGGGCCCACGCCTCACCTCCCCCCTAACCTGACACCGGCTCTAGGGAAACACCCCCCCTGGGAGCAGCAGTTGAATGCTGGCCTGGGGATGCCCACGCTGTGTCCCCAAACCAGTGACAATGTCACCTTACATGCAGATGGGACTTTAGAGAGGTGACCTGGAGGTGAGGCCACTGGCATGACAGGGCCCTTGGAGGAGGGACCCTGAGAGAGGTGTGGCCGCCTAGCCCTCAGAGGTCAGGATGCTGCTCTGGAAGGGGCAGGGGTGGCCTCAAACCAGGGAAGCAGGAGGCTCCAGAGCGGGCTAAAACCCGGAACGGATTCCCTCTCTACAGCCTCCAGAGCGGGATAAACCCCAGGAATGGCTCTCTGCTGGAGCCTCTGGGAGCGGAATAAACAGGGTACTGGAGCCTCTTCCTGACAGCCCTCAGAGCTGCTAAGCCCAGTAACAGACCCTCCCAGAGACCCCACAAAGGATCCAGCCTGGCCGCCACTTCAGTTCGATTCCTAGGAGACATCCAGAAAGGCGAGACAGTAATTTTGATTCCTTTTAAGCCTCTGGCTGCCTCTGCAGCCCCCCAAACCTGTTGCCATTGACCCCGTTCCGACTCAGTGCCCCTCCCCCTGTGGTACAGAGCAGCAGGGCCTGGAAGCTTTCTCAGCTGCTGTCTTGACAGAAGTGAATTGCCAGGCCTTTCCTCCGAGCCACTGCGAGGGACAGGCTGACCACACTTTTACCACCAGGGGTCTTTCAAGCCACTAGGTTTGGGACCACAGTTGCAGGATCAGCAGGGAGCTCACACCCTGGGGCTGACTGTCGCTCTGACCCCTGCAGCCCCCACCCCACAGGATTCCTCTTGCAGGCGTTCTGTCCGGGGAATCCTATCCATCCCAGAGGAGAGGCTTCCTTCCAGTCTCCACAGGATCGGCACCCACAGCCTGTGGTACCCCGGGGGGAGAGTCCTGAGTCCACACTCCCCTCTCCCCTGCTCCCCTAGCCTGGGAGGACAAAGTGCAGGTGAGTGACAGACACCACACACAGGGGTTAGAGACCATGGGAGAGCATGCTTCCCACCCCGCCCCCCTCCTTCTCACAGGTGTGTCCTTGGCAATGAAGCCTTTTGAGGGGGTCTCAGCCCCACCCTCGTGGGAAGAGACAAGCAGAAGAGGCGCTCCCAGGGGAACCACTGCCTTTGAGTCTGCTCGGACTCAGAGAGACCCTGCGGGGTGCTTCCGAGGCTGGGAATCTTCCGGGGAGCAGACAAGACAGCCCATCTTTCTCCCAGAGGACGGTGGGTCTGGACCAGGCTCTTTGAGGTGGGCAGTTCAATGCCTAACTCACAATGCCACCAGGGATCCTTGAGGCTCTCCCAGTGCCATCACTGAGCCCCCCCAAAGCAGTGGGGAGCCCCAGGCCGTGTTTGGGAGTGAGATGAGGGTGCTGTGTGCATGAGAAGCCACAGCCCTTTGAGGGGTTTGCACAAAAAGAACAGAGTAGCAGGGACGCACACGTGGTAACACAGGGGACATGAGACCAAGGCGACAGCCGCTTCTTCGCTGAGGAACCGGAAGCTGAGAGAAGTGAGGAGCACGTTCCCCCTGGGTAACCGTGGAGATTGGATGGTTTCGTGCAACTAGACACTTCTGCCTAGGGGTGGACTCAAGCCTGGCAACCAAATGGCAGCCTTTGGGCACCTGCTTGGGGGTGGGGCCTCTGTGATGAGTGAGGGACTCGGGGACCACTCCACCCTTCACCCTCCTTGGGACTTCTCTGGGACTGTCAGTGTCCTGGCACGCTTCCTCCAACCTTGGATCCGAGGGACCCTGCGCCCACCAGTCTGGGGTCTTCTGCTTTCCCGGTCACCATTTGGCCTCACCAACAAGTGACTACGAGAGCCAGAGAAGACCTTCGGGACTAGCATCAGGCTCAGGGCCTTGAGTGGGACGGGGCTGGACATCTTGATGCCAAGTTGGTCCTTGAAGTGAAACTCTTTCTTGTACAGACATGTGCATCACGGGACTTGCTTCTCTAGACAGCCCAGCCCAGCCTAATGCAGCAATGGTGGCCCTCAAAAACTCACATCACCCCCTGTGGGTTTTTGAGACAGGAGTAGGCCATTTTTCTCCTGAGGAGCTGCTGGTGGTTTCGAACTGCCGACCGTGCGATCACAACCCATAGGTAACCACTACACCACCAGGGCGCTGTAGGTACTAGAGTGGGCCTTGTCAGCACTAAGGACCAAGCTACAGCTTCCAGTATCCAAGGCCCAAGAATCCGGGGATACATGGCACCCAGGCTGGCCCAGGGCTCCAGACCCCCAAGCTCCAGGCAGCCCCTCTCCTCACCACGCTTGCCAGGCCCTGAGCAGCAACAGCCCGAAAGCTCGGTGTCAGCTGGCAATGGTATGCACCCAGTGACCCAGGGCCTAGGCAGCCACGTGCCTGAGGGACCCCGTCGCGTGTGAGCCAAGGAGCAACAGGACCTGCAGTGCCTGTGCAGGTGGCTGGCCACCCCGCCTTCCAGCTCGTGTCTGGTCACCGGCCAGTTGGTGAGCCTCACTCAGCCACAAGACGGGGGTCCCTGTGCCGTCTGCCCCCTCCTCTTCTGACCTGGAGTGCTTGCAGCATTAGCAGACTCACACCTGAGCCCCCACCTGTGGCACCTCAGGTAGACCTTGACCACAGAAGCGCCAGGTGTACAATGAGGTGGCAAAGAACTTGCACATGGACCTCCCTGAGCAGGGGCGCCCGGGCGCACTTCCCGGCAACAGGCGAACACCCACTCTGTAGGCAGGAGCTGTATGGATCAATTTAATCGTGTTAAATAGTAATACGATACAGGCGACTGTGGCTCACTGTCAGACAACCAAAGGATGTGGGGCCGCAGCCCGCCCCTCGGCTTCTGGAACCCAGAGTAGCCTTGATGCCCTGTTGGGAGCAAGGGTCCTCTGCGCTTTGGTTTGTGATGACTGCCAGAGAAGCACTGGCCCAGCACGGACCAGGTCCACGTGGCCGGGGACACCCTCAGAGGGAACCGCATCGGATGGCATTGTGCAGCCCAGAAGGGGCAGACCTGCGTGTATAAAAAGATCTGTAGAATAAACCAAATAATATTGGAAAGAATACAACTTGGTAATACTTCTGTAAGAAGCAGAATTACAACACGACATGTTGTTCCCATGCACAGGAGTGCGGAAGAAAGTCCCCATGTGGTGGCTGAGGTCGGCGTGGAAGAGGGAAGCGTGGGCTGGTGATGACCAGGTGGTGGATGGGCAGAGGCGCTCAGCTGGGCAAGGGCAGGGCCTGCAGGGGGGCAGCCTCAGCATCGACAGGACGGGACTCGGGAGCGTGCACACACCGCTCCCTCGGGCTGTGACCACACACACATCTGAGTGAGGGCTCCCGAAGGCCTCTGCGTGTCCCGGCCAGACTTCCAGACAACAGGGAGGAACAAAGGGGCCAGCCGCTCCTCCGGGAGCAGCACAGGCCAGCGGGGCCAGGACGCAGCCTTCTGCTTGCCTTCCAGCGGCTCTGCAGTCCACCTGGGTAGGGGCAGGGCAGCTGCTCTGGCAGGACAACTGAAGGACCATAACTCCTCACAGCAAGGGAGCCCCGTCTCCTCTGACTTCAGAGTCCAAGGCCTGGAGTCTGGGGGCACTGGGGGATAGGAAGCCCCCCACACCCACCCCACAGCAGCAGCGGGGCTGCAGAGCGTCTTGCATGTGAAGGGCACCCAGTGTGCTCAGTCACGCTCCATCATGTCCAAGGCCATGCAGCTGGCCCGTCCTCTGCCAGCCACACTAGCAAGAGGCCCAGAACGTCCCACGAAGAACATGGCTCTTGCCCATCTCCGTCCAAATGCGGGTGCCCCACCGTCAGCCCAGGCTGATCTCCCGCATCGCACTAGGGAGTCAGGAAGAGGCGTTGGTGGCTCAAAGACACTGGGCCACGCCACAGTGGAGAGCGGGGCAGCAGGTCCCCCAGGCAGGTGGGTCTGCTCCAGCAGGAAGCACAGAACCCGGCCAGCCCTCAGACCTACTTCCCCGCTCGCTGAGGTTCCTGGATTTTCCACCGAGAGTTCACTTCTGACGTGGCTCGCGCTGACACTGGCAAACAAGGTTTCTCTTCACGCCAGACACTGGATCAGAACCTGCTCCGTGGTCAGAACAAGCGCTGCAGCCAGTGAGGTGCAGCTGGGGTTTGCTTTCCACACCCTCCTTCTCCATGGCAAACACAGAAAGGCCAACTCCACATGCAAGGAAGGAGGCCAGGGCCTCGGGAGATGTGCTACCCAAACCCAAGGGGTGTGTGGCTCTTTCAACAGGGACAGTCACAGGGCTCCCTCTGAAGACCCCGGGGCTGGCCCTAGCACAGAGGGGCAGATGGAAGCACCTGTCTGAGTGAGTTGTGCCCCCATGTTTGCCAAGCACCTGGGAAGCTGGGGTTCTGGCCAGCCCCACGGTGTGGCCTCTGGCTGTTGAACCTGAGCCCAGAGCTGGACACCCCAGCTCGCCTGCCCCTGGAGGCAGGAGCCACGGCGGCTTCTCCACACCCAGCCACATGGGCCTGCCACAGCCCCGAGAACTGGGTTCTTGCAGAAGCGGGCTGTCAGTGGAGCTCCGCTGGGCGGGACGGGAATCTTACAATGGGGATAATGACGGAGGGTCACCGAGCAGGAAAGAAGCCTCGAACCCGGGGGTCTTTCGCCAGTGGGACTGTAACGGCTCACGGCCAAAGGGGGACTGGGAATCATGGTGACAGCGCCGAGCCCCTTGCTCAGCACAGGGCTACAGTGGGGACCAGGCCCTCACGTCTTTTTCCAGGTAAAGGCCTCGTCGGCCAGGACCTGGGCCAGCTGGGCATTGAAGGGCCCGTAGAAGTCCTGCAGCATCCTCTGTGTGATGGGCCACATGGGCCCCAGGCTGCGGTCCTCGGGGCGCCGTGTGTTTGAGGCGGGGCTCTTGGTCATCAGGGCTTCTTGCTTCTCACTTAAGGGCCCTGGAAGGAGAAGAGATGGTCAGGCGGGCGGTGGGGCAGAGAGGGAAGGCACTGTACAGGCCCTGCGCTGCCTGGGGGGTGGGGGGGGGTGGCAGGGGCTGCTCTTGGAAGGAGGAGCTCTGAGATTAAAGTCCTTGAGCCTTCCCTCTTTGGAGAAGCTGCCCCCGGGGAGGAGAGAGCATGGGGGGACCCAGTGGGGGCCCGGGACTCAGCTTGCACCTGCAGTTTACCTCCCTGCTTTCCTTTCTAATCACCTTACCTAAGACAGGAGCCCTGGTCGCGCCTCAGGTTAAATGCCTGGGGCTGCTAGCCGAGGGGTCCCCACCCACAGCAAGTCCTCAGGAGAGAGACGGGCAGTCTGCTCTGTACAGACTTCCAGGCTCAGAAGCCCCGTGGAGCAGTTCCGCTGTCCCTCGGTGTCCCTGTGCTGCCTTGGCCACCCTGCCTGTGCCCTCTGCAGACAGTCACTTCGCACTGCTGACCTGGCACCTTGTGGTGAGCAGCCCAATGTCTACATGACGGCTCCAGGGACCCCAAAGTCAATGCACAATGGTCTCAGAAGGAAAGGGGTGACCCCTGCCATCAGTGTGAACTAGGATTCATTCTCGGGCTGGGGAGGCCCACAAGCCCTGGCCACCTGCCAAAACCCAGCCACGAAGGTCTAAGGCCAGGGGTCCCCAACAAGACGTGAAACCACAAAGTGCCTGTCCACAACCCGTCTCCAAGCCCTAGGTTCTCTGGCCCATCCACCCTGATCCCCTGGAGTCTGCATGTACCCTAGGGTGACACCAAGCCAGCCCTCCACCCCACCCCAGTTTTCTGTTGTCTGAGCTGCGGCTCCAGTGGGGAACCAACCACCCACAGTCAGCCATGCCTCGGGAGCCCCTCGGAGCCAGTGTCCGCATGCAGCTCGGCCCCTCCTCCCAGCAGCGGCCAGCACCCATACCTAGGTCCAGAAACTGCAAGACCCTGCGCATGGTGGCTCTGACGTTGGACGCGTGGTCTTCGAGGCGCAGGACCAGGAACTGCTCCTTACTGAAGACGCCGAACCAGTCCAGCAGGTACACAGCATACAGTCCAACCTGCAGCCTCACCTGGACACAGAGATGGGGACAGCAGGAATGAGTCCCGGAAGACACTTGCCCGGAAGTGACAGGGTGTCATCACCACACAGAGGGTCATGCTCGCCAGCACTGTCTGGAAGGGTCCTGCTCTTGTTTTTTCAGGGGGGCTTCTGCGCTGCTCAGGTGACCCTTGGGTCGACCCTGGCTGCTGGAGAGTCCAGTACTATCAGAACAGGCCCAGGCTCTGCGGGGTTTTCCATGGCTGGCCCAGGGAAGTAGGATGCCAGGTGCCTCTTAGTGGCCTCCAACCACCAATCAAGCATGAACCTGTCGTGCATGGAGCCCCGCTGAGCACTTCTGAGGAGGCCTGAATGCAGCCACGGCTGCTTTCTACCGACACGCCTCCTGGTCCCCCCTACTCCGCTCACACCAAGCTAGCTGTAGACGCCAACACCAAGTTCTGATCTCTGCGGGCCGGGAGTCAAGTACCCAATCAGCAAGGTAAGCATGGGCTCCCTTGTGCTTACATATTAACCTGCAGGGAGCAGTTCACCTGGGTCTCCCCCATCTTTGAGGGGTGCTGTGCTTAGCTTGTTGTCTGGGGCCGGGAGGACCCTCCATCTCTGTTGAGGACTGGGAAGCGAGAAGGAGCCTTTGGCTTGGGAGAGACAGAAGCCGGCCAGACCTCCAAGTCCAGTCTTTGGTGTGCAGAGAACCAGGTGCAAGTGTCACTACAGATTAGTGAGCAAGCAGCAGGAAGCCCTGCTTACCTTGCCTACTGAGTGATCTGACACTGCTGAGGGTCCCCACTCCCATCTCCTTCCCTCCCAGCTCAACCCAGGGGTCCCAGGAAACACCCGCAGGACCCGTGCAGGCACCGAAGTGTCATCCCACAGCTCCTGTCTCGTCTTCCTCTAGCCGTGCAAGGACAGCAGGGGCTGGGTTCTCTCTGAAGTTCATGAGCTGCCTCCAGCCCACCTTGTATACACTCACTCCAAGAAAGACCTCAAGCCAGGCTGATGCTAAGGGGAGAACGAGTCCCTGCTGGTCAACCACACGAAGCAACCAGGAAGCCGGCCTTGGAAAGTATTTCAATTCTCCCGCATAGGCCCGGCCCAGCCTGGGGCACCTCAGCCCAGGAGAGGACCTCAGCCGAGGGAAGGACTATGGTCAGAGGAAGATCTCAGGCCAGGAGAGGACCGAGGCCGGGCAGGGAGGAGCTGGCAAAGCGGACTTCCTCAAGGAACCTGCCCTTTCTGGAAGGGAAGGATGGGGAGTTTGGCACAGGCTGGGGTACCTCGTGGTGGTTGTCTCTGTGGTGGCGAAACGCATCTAAGAAAACAGTTGCCATTTCAACCTTTCTGTGTGCACAGGTGAGTGGCCACAGTGCCTCCCTCCCCTATTCCCCGCAAGTTTAGGTGGTGTGGGCTCCTTGTGGTGACAGGGTGCACTCATGCCTGTAAGCAGGCTGCTGGCATTTCAAGCCATGTCCTTTGGTCATGCTTAGGAATTCCCCGATTTTCTCTGCATGGAGTTTTACAAACTAATGGCAGCAACAGAGGGACCTGGGGCCAAGGGTGTTATCACCAGTGCTGGACATGACAGTCTCTGTGACAGTCTCAGTAGCTGCAAGAGCACACAGGGACATGCAGGGGAGGCACACAGGGGACAGAGGAAGGACACAGGACAGGTGGTGAACGTGCAGGGGAGGCACACAGGGGCAGAGACCAGGGGACATGCAGGGCAGATACACCGGGACACAGGAGAGTCACAGGGACATAGAGGGAACACAAGACAGATACAGGCACAGTCTCAAGTACCTTGGCCTGTATTGCCTCAGCCTGACCCCAGAGCTGCCTCCTAATGACAGACTCTAGCCCTAGGTAGAGAGCTGGAGCCCTGCCTGGACTGGCAGCAGGCAGGAGGGGGCAGGAGCCTCAGGAAGACAGGTGGCTTCTCCCTGCCCCGCATCTGGTGCTCTGCACAGCGTAGGTGCCCAGTGTCTACCCAGAACAAGCCAAGCCTTATGAACAGGGCGAGCGGAGTTCCAGGCCCCACCTCCACCATGTCCAGGCTGGGAGCAGTCTCCCACATGTGGCTCCTCCCTCCAATAGTGAAGCAAGCTCAGGGCGATGGAC